GCTGTCAAACCTACACTAGCAAGGAGATCGGGCTGAAACTATAGCTACAAGCTATCCAAGGATGGTACTATAGAATGTCACCTCAAGGTAGGCCTAGTGGCGTCATCTCTTGGTTAGGCCGGAAACTTATCAATCCACCCTCGTATTTATTCATCTCGTAAAGTTTTGCTTCGCACTATGAGGTTAAATTAAATTATTTCTTTTATAAATATGCCCAGCGGCCTTTCTTAAATTAAACTAAATTCTAAAAATACAAACAATACAAAATTTTGAATAAAACTAAACCTAAACCATATTTGTTTTGTTAACTTTTTCAATTCGTAAAAGCTTACGTCATGCCATAAAGATTATTTCGTGTAAGATTAAGTTAGTAAAACATTAATTAATAACTTTTGATAGATATGATACACAAAATGATTAATGAAGCGTTTGCTATCGGTAATTTATTACAATAGATTATTTATTGTTTGGGCATTGATTTGACAATAACTACATTTTCATCACTGTCTTGCCCTAAGGCAAGTTAGAAACAAAATTAAAAGAAAGTAGTTTGCTCAACAAATCGTTTAAATATTTATCCTGAAGCGGATACAGCGTTATAAAAATAGTAAAAAACGTTTCAAAATGACTATTTATAGTTGTCCTTTAGTAATAATACGAATGTATACAAACCCTTGCTATTACTATGGTTCAATTTTTTATAGCTTTGATTTTGGCTGATTATCTAAACTATCTAACCTTCTAAATAAATAATGTTCAACTATCATCATCCCATCAATCCTAATAGACATGCGTATAAATTAATTCTTTTACATGAATTTTATAAAATTTTATGATATTAAGAGAAATTTACCATCAATTATATTTAACCGACATTTTCTTGCATGATTATTTATAATCCACTCTCCTAAACTGGAAACTCAAACTGTAAAAATGTAAAGAATGATTGAATTTCACCAAAGATTATGTATGGGTTTTCGAACTAATCCTAACTAATATTATAAATGCTAATATGAGAACCGATTTTCATGAAATTTGTACACATATTGTCAGGGGCACAGAAAAGGGCATAGGGTACCCTTTTATCTAAAAAAAGATATACCGTTGCCCAGGGATAGAAAAATTAGTTTTATGTGGTCGTCGATGATTTTTTGACCCACATTTAAGACATGAACACGACCACGAAACATCAATATTGATCAGTTAGTTGATCACCTATGATTCCTCTGACAAAGGTATGCAGAAACAGACGTCAAATCGATAACACCCAAATTTTTGGTGTCGGAAGTTAAAATAGGTAAAAGTATGCTATGCAGTTATTAGAAAAAACAATTTCTGGTTACTTTTAAATTTGTTACGCTATTGATAAGAAACTATATATTACTCATACTATAATTTAACATTTTTGACACAATACGTTAAGTTGACAAACACGGCTGACATTTTAATGAAATCATTTAAATAATAAAAATCAACGTCTAAAAATGAGTATTGTACATTCAGTGCAGTTTTTTTAGTTAATGTATTGGTGAATTAAGTAATAATACTAATCACTATGTTTTTCTCGTTTTTTTTCAGAATTTCGACTTTGACGAGTTGGAAGGGGCCACAGAATACGATGGGGGTTACACGAGTGATACACCTATAATAAAACACTTTTGGTCAGTGGTACATTCGTTATCGATGGAGGACAAACGAAAGTTGCTCCAGTTCGCAACAGGGTCGGACCGAGTACCTTTAGGAGGCCTTAGCAAATTGAAATTGGTCATTGCAAGAAACGGCACCGATTCTGACAGGTTACCAACAGCGCATACATGTTTTAACGTGCTCCTCCTCCCGGAATACGACACGAAAGAAAAGCTCAAAGACAGACTTATCAAAGCCATCAATTATTCGAAAGGATTCGGTATGTTGTAAATAATTTTTGTTGTTTCCCGTGTTTATTGAATCGTGATCGGAAATGACGGTTGTATAAGAGGTGGTAAATGTGGTCGTTTTTCGCGACAAATGAACGAAAACAGAAGCCGAATGACGATTGTCAGTCTCGTTGAATTGTATTGTAAGAAAAGGAAGTGTTCGTCCAAATGTGGACGTGTTACGGTGAGGATTGTTGATTTTCATTTAATTTGTCTATTATTATATTTCTTTCCTTTTTTTAAATTAAGTGGAAAAGTGATTTTCCCTACTCGTCTTTTTTTTTTTCGAGGGCAATACTAAAAAAAAGATTTTAAGTTTAGCTCACGCTTTATTAAATTTTCCCCGATGTAAATTGAATTGTACACACTTATACAGCTTATTATCACTATTATTATACTATTATCATGCTAAAAACAAGAGAGCATGTATAATAGTCTTGGTAATTTTATATGGAACTCCCTCTTTTCTCTT